GCTGTGCGCCTCGCCGGGCGGGCGCCGGGGCCCCTCCGTGTATCTGCATTTTGCACAAGGCTTTCAGCAGTGACAAGAAATTTATTTTTTAAATTTCCGTTCCAGTTCTCTACTGTGTCTTTGTTTGGTTTTTCCCCTTTTAATATTTTTTTTTGCCCCTTTAACCACATGCTTAATGCACCGCTGCTGGGCTCACGGGCTTGAAATAAGGAAAATTAAAATGTGCGTGTCTCTCACATACCTTGCAAAATTAATAGAAAAATCAAGAGAGCCTTGTAAAGAGTGTGATCATTTCTGTGGGCAGTTGGGTACCAGTAAGTCAGCAGCTGTAACAATGAAAAAGCCTGAATCTACTTGCACTTTATTACAGTCAACAGACTGAAATAAATATTTACTTTTACAATATTTACTTTCTTTGGTGAGTCACAGGCCCAGGTTTCCCAGAGAAGTTGTGGATGCTCCTCCCTGGAAGTGTTTAAGGCCAGGCTGGATGAGGCTTTGAGCAACCTGGTCTAGTGGAAGGTGTCCCTGCTGATGGCAGGGGGGTTGGGACTGGATGATCTTTAAGGTCTCTTCCATCCCAAACCATTCTGTGATTCTTTTTTTTCCTAACTGTGCTTGTTTATAAAATAAATGCTGCTAGTTAAGTAGGAGTAATAAATCATTTGTTAAAATTTAAATTCTCAAAGCAGTCTAAATCAGTGATGCTGCTCAGATGTATAATGTAGTACAGGTGTGCAGATGATTTCAGAGCCCATCTTCTGCCCATTTAATAGTTTGACAGGATGTCTGGAGAGAGTTCTCAGTGGTGTCTGCTTGTCACAGTAAAATCTGTTAACCGTAATTCAAGGATCAACAAGCCCTTTTTCATATATGTACACACATGCAAAATAAAGCCAAAAACCCGAGAACACAGAACATCATCCACTGATGTTACAGATGCATTTTGCTGGTAATTAATTCAAAACAAGAAGTTTTATGATTAATAATTTTCCTTTTGTAAGAAACCAATATAGTCCTTGGGTTTATATTGAATTTACTGCAGTGTGCAGGCTGTAGATTTTGTAAAAGAAGTGAGAAAGGTATCAAAGATTGTTTTGCATTGTGATTATTTTAAACAAAATCTTGACAGTGTAATGATTAAGGAGTCCTAGATTTTCTTGATTGTAATACCATTTTATGTTGCTGATCCCTGGCAGGGAACCTGAAATGATTGCAAACTTGCTATGGGGGGAAAAACAGGAGAGCAAGAGGGTGCATGTTATGAAATGCAGGGTTCTCCTCTTCCCCTGCATTTAATACAATCTTTGTATGACAGTAGCAGCGATAATGAAAGTATAAAGTCTTTAAGGACTTAATGAGTCTTTTAGTTATCCTAAAAGTCTAATAAATTAAGGAACTATTAGGTCCTTAAGAGCTAAAAGGGCAGCTGCATGTATTGCTCAGCAGTTCTGAGACAAAAGCTAAATGTGTAGTTCTGATATGAGATGGAAGCAGACAACTTTGATTTATGCATAGCACTTCCCTTTTAACTGGTGACTTTAAAAACTGTTGTATCAGTCAGTACTGTTTCAGGAAGGGTTTTTCTAATACATGTCTTTTCTAGTTGCTTTATATGCTCTGGCTTAAAATGTTGAAGTGTAGGAGGAAAACACTTTTAAAAAAATATAGATTTGTCTGGTAAATTTGAGGAAATAGGCAGTAGTAATTGTATGGTTTTAAGTGCATCATGACAATATAGCAAGAGTAATGACAGATAGATGGCAAGTATGGGATGGTGACAGTAAAAGACTACTCTTGGGAGGGACAGTGTGAGTAAACTTAGTGCATATAGATGATGTTCAGTGTACTGAAGTTTCACTGTTAACGATGGAATATGGTCGCTCATGTTCAGCATGGATAAAGTAGAATGTTCTGATATATATCTCACTTTTATTACATGTTGCTTTTTTTTGTAAAATATCCTAGCAATGTTTTTCTTCATATGGTAGTATCTTATTTTTTTTATAACACTTCTGCTTTAGGTCCTGTTTTCCACTGATCTTTGCAGCACGAGGCAAGGAAATTCTTGTAAATAAGATGTTTCAGTCTAGATTTGAGAATCCTAATCAAGAAACTGTTCCTTTTCTTAAGAATAACTGGATTCCTACTGTACAAGCATGGAAGTGGTCTTGCATTATCGACCACATCAGAGAGATCTAATAAAGCTGCAGAAATTTGCAGAAGCAGCTATGAAGGAGTTTCCCATTCGTCAGTTACCAAGATTTACACCCTGGTTTCCAAATGATTTGTACAGACTTCCCCTCAAGCCAAAAAAGTGGCCACCTGTTATTTCTTGTGAGGAAGCAGAAGAATTGAAACGACTTTCTACACCTTCAGAATATGTTACAGGATCTCCTGATTATGACTGCACAAAAAATCTCCTTGAGTTCCAGTCTAACATGAAACATGGGCAGACTTCAATCCAAGCACAGACTGTTCACAGACCAATTAACTTGGACAATCAAGGAGAACCACCACCTAATGGAAAACAGAAATTGAAAAGGTCTTGGAGTGTCTCTCTCCCTAGCCCTAAGCTTAAAGAAAAGATTCTTCCTTTATCTCAAGAACTGCAAAATAATTTGGAAAGACTAAAGCTGCATGCATTTTATAGAGCAAAGTGGACAATTGAACAGTCTGTTTCTAATGATCAGAATTTGGAGGACATCTGGATAAAACTGAATAGACTCATCAAGCAGAATGAGTTGCCATCTTGCAATGCTACTATCCAAAGATCTGTGGGACAGATATGGATTTTCTGTGATATATTATACTGTGAATACGTTAGAAATATTCTTAGGGAAAAGCTAAGCCTTACTGATAAAATGAATTTGATTGTACATAAATTTGGAATTATATTTAGTTTATAATTGTAAGATAGAGTTTCATGGTAAAATTGCTGTCTGAAGTACTAGAGTTTTTTAAGCAGCTTAGAGTATAATAACTTCAGAACAACTGATGAATTAAGAAGAAGAAAACTACTTAATGTTACTTTACTGCAGTTTTTTACCTGTAATAATGTATTTATTTAACTTTTTTTTTTTTGCCAGGAGACTTACAAGTGTTTCTGTTAAGATTAGTAAGATTCTCTTTGGCTTAGTACTGCCTTTTTTAGCCTTTCTCTACCTTGGTGGTCTAAAGGAAAAAAAAAATGAAATAAAAACTCCAGACTATTATGTCAAGCTGTGTCAGATAATAAAATTTATGCTTTCAGTCAAGCAAAGTACTTGCTCACTGCTTCTCTGAAATGAGAAGGAAAAATATTTTTAAGTGAGTGATTATAATCGCTGCAAGGTTTCGTAATTATTTTTGACACTGAAACTTTCAAGATCTGATTCTTTCCTGAAAGTAGTGTGTGAGGGTTTTTTAATAAAGGCACACCCTTTGCATGAAATAAAAACTTACTTTCTGTTGCATGTATATGCTGTCTTAGTAATGTTAACCATACTTTCCCAGAAATGCTAGTAAAAGTTTCAGTGGAATTTGTGTGCTGAAAAATAATGAACTACTTAGCGATTCCTAGTTTATGACTTTGGTAATAAGATCTTTTTTTTTTTTTTCCTGATGTTTCTGGTCTTTTTTTTTTCAATTATACTGGGGAACAAGAAAGAGCTAACTTCCAGCTACAGGTTGGGAAATTAAGAAATCAGACTTCTATCTGTAAACCTCTACTTGTTGTCGTTATGGAAGATAAAGGTCTCTGAGATTTGAATGCATTTTATGGTGATAAAAGGCTGATTTCAGCATGACTTTTTGTTACCTGAAAGAATAGAGTTTTTCAAGGTCATGCTGTCCCTGCTCAGTTCAATGTTTGGAGGGTCAGTAGAGCAGTTAACTGGGATCGATGTGACTGCAAGGGTATGTATTTCTCTTAGGCACCCCTGCTAACTCCAGATAATTTTGCTGTAGCTGGAGGTTAAGGTTTATGGCATCTGGAAGAGGGAGAAAATAAGCGAATGGTATTTGTAGATTGTTAGATTCATTAACACTGATGAAATAAAAGTGCACATAAGCATAACAGAGATCTCTCTGTGTAAAAACTAAATGAAATCCCCTGAGACTTTTACTTAATTTTTCTTTTGAAGACGTCCTTATGCTGGAATAATTATAATTTATTATAGACATTACATATCTTTTTGTAGTTTAAAATTAAGGATATTGCTCAGTTCGGATCTTGGACATTTTATTTCTAAATGTGGACTGAATATTAAGGGAGTCTTATATTGATATTTGGGGTGTTTGTGACATTTAATATTAGCACTTACCAAAATTGATGTAAAATGGCGTCTAGAGTAACTGAGGGTCATTATTAGTTTTCAAGATTATATAGGTAAGTCATTTCACTGAAGTTATTTTTCTGAGCTTAACACTAACAGTAACAAAGTTTGTTTGTGCATCAGCATTTTTCAAGATATAATGGAGTAGAATGCAACATAATTTGAGTTTTATGTAATGTTGTATTTTGTGTCTAGGATCTTAGAATAAAAGAGATGAGAGGTCATCCTGCCAAGATATAGTATTTTCTAATACTAGTTTAGTAGTCCTATTAAATATGATAATCTTCATAATTTATTTGTGTTTTGACTTCATTCAGTGAATTTTTAATTTATTTTTTTACTGTCTTAAACATTACTAAACTTGATCTGTAAGTGTTCCTTTAGAAACAGTCAGCAAGTACTAGTTTATATGGACTTACTGTAGATTTGAATAAAATTAGGCAACCATCAGTAAACAGTCCCACAATATTTACTTAATATACTGACAAAACAGCTAAACAAACATCTTACTAAACAGAAGGAGAGATCAGGTGTCACTGTTAAGTGGTAGCTGTCAGCTTTCTGCTGCTTTGGGTTGGTTTGTATGCGAAAATGATACATGCGCTGCTAGCTGTGAGAACCTCAGCTGGATAACTGTCATGTAATAAAAAGTGAACACCACAAAAGAAACATCAGTTTGTCTACAGAATTGTTACAGTCTTGGGTAGCACCAACATGCAAGCTGAAAGCCAGACTTGCATTTTGAACTGTTCCAGAAATGCTTAGTTCTTATGCATGTATAATTCAGTGTTTATCTTTTTTGATTTTTAATGTTGGATCTAGTTCTTAATTTACTCTGTTTTGTATATTTGGGGGTTTTTTATTTACCTGGTGGTTCTAAGCCTTCAGAGGTCATGTTTTTCAACTTCACCGTAACAATGAGAACGCGTTATGGTTTTTTATGTGAAAACTAAGATTTGTTTGTGTTGATGCTAACTTGCACAGGTCTGCTGTTACAGTAGCGTAAGTTCTTGTGAACCAATGCAGCCCGCTACACCCAAATGTATGTTGAAATAATTGAATATTTTATACAACTGGAGATAGTGAATGCTGACTGGACATATAAGATGCACAAAAGTATAATGAAGATAAAAGCACAATAAATGTGTCAGTGCAAGGATGTTGATTAACTTGTTGCAGTCAAGAGAAACCCTTTTATTTTCTTTTTAAGTTTTAATTTTCAGAAATTATATGGTCTGTTAAGTTTTGAAGAAAAACAAATTAGTGATTTTTACGTGTTCAGATCAACAGCTGAGGTTACAGATGCTCAGCTTTGTTTCATGTGAATGCTTTCATGAGAAGCTATATGCAAGATTAGTGCCATTGGTTTATATGAATAGGAATGAATTATTTTAAGAAGCAGCATCTTAAAACCGTAATACCAATAAAAATAATGTAATTTTGAGTATTCTGAGTTAATATAGCCTTTGAAAATACCAGTTTCTTGAAGTAGAGGTGTTTTAAAAGCAAAATCTCAATGATTTTGATTTTGTCAATATTGATAAAATAGATTTTTTCTAAGTGTGTTCCTATGGTTTTTGTGATGATTTCGCTGGTTTGGGTTTAAAGTTTGTGACTGAAAAATAAGCGGTTGTATAAGTAGGGTAGGCTTTTAGACTTGTAACTCTATCTTGCTTATGTTTTGGCAATTAGGGTGCAAATGCAGTTCCTTATAGCCTGGAGTTTGACTGAAAGGTTTCGTACTAGTCACCATGTCCCATTGTAGAGCATCTAGAATCACAGAACAGGCACTTAGCCTAGAAGAGTCCACAAAACAGTGAAAGAGATACACTTCTGAAATCCACAAAGCAGTTAACGCTGTGACAGATGTAAGACCTTTAGCTCCAAAGATTGAAAGCAGATGTTAGTGTACCAGGGGAAAAAAAGCAAGAGGGAGCAATGACATCACCTGTGCTCTTGGATCTCAGAGTAGCAGGGACTTTATTATATTAAAAAAGGGCCAGGTGATCCAAAAAGGTGTTACCCTTTTTCAGGCAAAGATTTGGTGGTTGGGGCTTTTTTTGTTGGAAGGAGAGCAAGACAAAATTAAATTTAAAAAAGAAAAAAAAAAGAAGTAAAAATACTTGTTTCATTGACCTGTGGTTTCTTTTCTGATTTTGCAGTGATGAGGCTAACCAAACCTACTTTATTCACCAATATTCCGGTGACTTGTGAAGAAAGAGATTTGCCTGGTATGTCTTTTCTACTGACTGATTATTAAGTATATATGATCAAGTTTAAACAATGTACATCTGAGACTTCGATGTCAGAGGAGTCTTATGACCTCCCACAGATGGTAATCTGAAACAGCAGTGTATTTTATGTTTGGTAATGGCTATAGGAAAATACCGAGGTGCACTCTGCAGCTCTAGACCTGTCACGTTGGGTGCTTGGTGATAATATTGCAAATACGTGACCTCACATTCTGGGCAAATAACACACAAGGAAGGCTGTTGCAAAAGATAAATGTGTAAATGTAGAAAGTTTGGTGTTATTATAGTCTTTATCTGGAGAAAATGCCCTGATAATTAGAACCAACACGTAAATGTTCTATGGAAAATTAATTTGCGAGAATCATTGCTTTTGAATTGTGTTATGCTTGGTGTACAGTCATAAACTGGAAGTCTCTGGGTTGTCCCCCAGTGATAGTTGCAGTCTAGAAGTCAAGTAAAATAAAGAGGCAAAGGAAAGATTCAAGAAAAGAGGATTGTGTGGAGATACAAAGCAAGCAGGGGCAGAAAGTAGGTGGGGTTGATTAATTCTCTTATGTAAGGTGCTTTACTTGGGCAGAATTTCCTTTAAAGTTTAATGTTAATTTGAGAAATGCCTTTGGGATTGCACCCTTCAGGATGTATACTGAATGATTTATTGGACCCAAGTACCTGGAAGTAACTTACGATTTATAGGCAGGCTTATAGAATATCCCTAAACAAGTTGTTTGTAAAATAAGTATGTCTCAGGTAAATTATATCTAAATAAGTGATTAAGTGTTGTAATTTAAATGTAGACAAAGCTTTAGACTTAGAAAATATTTAGATACTAACGATTTGGTATTTTCACAGGTAATCTGTTTAACCAGCTTATGAAAGACGATCCTTCTACTGTGAAGGGAGCAGAAACTTTGATGCTAGGAGAAATGCTAACTTTGCCTCAAAATTTTGGGTAAGAATGAATGATTGGAAGTGTAGCGTACAAGGTTTAGGGTACATAATGATAATGTGTTTATGACTTTTCTTTCTTTTTGAACATCTTTGTTACGCAATGAGATGTTCAGTCGTTTTAAAAATAATCTGTGGCTTGATTTATAAGGTGACATAATATATGAATCTGAGCTGCCTGATGTTCCTTGTCTGTAGCCTGAGTCTGAATGTAATAAGGCTTGAAAGTTGAAAGAAATCTGCAGCTGTAGGTGAATTTCTAAGGTACTGTGCTACTATAAACCACATCTTAATACTAACAGAGTTTACGACAGTGATTTTTGCAGGTACTGTAAGCCATCTTTTTCTTCTCAGATGTCTAACTAGAAAAAGAAATCTGATTGGTTTGTTTGTTTTTGAAGTTGTTTGTCTTAGAAGGATGACATTTACAGATATGGGTGTGAAAATGCCATTGTACTTTTAGGATTTGATCTGACAAACACGTGTGTGCATGTGTGTATATATATTTTAATTAGAACTTAAAGGCATTTCAGCGAAGTACTCTATATTTTTTTTTAATAACTGTTACTAAACATGTTCTAATTTAATTTTATTTAAACACAGAAATATATTTCTGGGAGAGACCTTTTCCAGTTACATTAGTGTACACAATGATAGTAATCAAGTTGTCAAGGACATACTGGTGAAGGTATGTGAAGATAAATCTACTTACTGGATTGATAAAAGTATAAAATATGTTTTCTGTTTCATATAAGTATGTTTTCTGATAATATCTTGTATGTTTAATGCTAATATATAGTCTTTAGGAAATATCTATCATTTTTTTCCAATCCAGAAAATACACCTGGAAATTTGAAACCATAAGATATAAAAATAGAAGTCTTTAAAGATTAAAATGAAAACTAGGATTTTATCAAAAAACCTGATATGCTATAAAGCTCCTCTGGAGAATTAGTATAGTAGAACTTCCACAGCTGAAATATTTGTTTTATATTCACTTGCACTTTCAATTAAGTCATCAAAGCAATTCTCTGTAGAGCATGCATTGACTTGTATTTTGCTTCTATTTCTAATAAGTTATTTTCTACTGCATCTTTTTTTTTGCATTTTCTGATGAACAAATAATACATTGAGAATAGAAATTCCAGAAGTCATTGTGGAACTCAATGTAAAAAGTAAATAGAGGTTTTATAAACTGCATGTTAAATGATTGGACCATTTATATGTATTTTAGAACTTGTCTTTAGCTTTGACAAGTACCTCATCATCTTAACATATCTGAGTTATATTACATGTATAAAAGCCTGTAGTATACAAAATGCTCATTGAAACCTAGTACTTTATAACATAAATTATTTTTCTTTAGGTCGCTTTGAACTGCAGTTCTGTTTTTCTGTCCACAGGCTGATCTGCAGACAAGTTCTCAGCGCTTGAACCTTTCAGCTTCTAGTGCTGCAGTGGCAGAACTTAAACCTGACTGTTGCATTGATGATGTGATCCATCATGAAGTAAAGGAGATAGGGACACACATGTAAGGTTTTAAATTTTTATAAGATTAAATGAAACTGCAGCACGTGTGCTATTCTGTTTCTGCTTTGATACAGGCACAAAATTTAAAGTAATTCAAAATAATTTTTTGAAAAATTGTTTCTTTCAGCTTAGTTTGTGCAGTAAGTTACACTACGCAGACCGGAGAGAAGATGTACTTCAGGAAGTTCTTCAAATTTCAGGTATGGCGTGAAGTATTCTATTCTACTTTTTATAAGTGGGTGAATCTAGAAAACTTATTTTAAAACATTTGATACTTTAAAAGCACTTTTGCTGGGATTCCTGAGGGCCGGCAGTAAATACTGCAGCAAAGAAGGCATTCAGTAACTCTGCCTTCTCTGCATCCTCCCTCACCAGGTCACCCACCTCATTCAGCAGCAGCCCCACATTTTCCCTGGTCTTTCTTTTGCTGCTGAGGTACTTGAAGAAGCCCTTCTCATTGTCCTTGACATCTCTTGCTAGATTTAATTCCAAACAGGCCTTGGCCTTCCTTGTTGCATCCCTGCATACTCTGACAGTGTCCCTATATTCCTTCCAAGTCTCCAGTCCCTTTTTCCATATTTTGTAGACTTCCTTCTTCTGAGCTTTTCCAGAAGTTCCTTGCTCATCCATGTAGCCTCCTGCCTCCTTTTCTAGATTCCTTACTCTTAGTGATGCAGCGATCTTGAGCTTGGAGGAAGTGTTGCTTCAACATTACCCATCTTTCTTGGGCCCCCCTGCCCTCCAGAGCCTTAGCCCATGGGATTCCTCCAAGCAGGTCTTTGAATAGGCCAGAGTTAGCCCTCCTGAAATCCAAGGTGACAGTCCTGCTGACCCCTCTCCTGACTTCTCCCAGAACAGAAAACTCTATCATTTCATGATCACTGCACCCAAGATGGCTTCCAACCACCACTTCACCCACCAGTCCTTCTCTGTTACTGAATAACAGGTCAAGTGGGGCACGTTCCCTGTTTGGTTCTCTCACCAGCTGTCAGAGAGTTGTCTTCCACACACTCCAGGAACCTCCAAGATTGCCTCCTCTCTGCTGAGTTTTATTTCCAACAGACATCTGGCAAGTTGGAGTCCCCCACAAGAAAGAGAGCCCGTGATCATGAGACATCCCCTAGCTGCTTGTAGAATATTTCATCTACCTCCTCACCTTGGTTGGGCGGTCTATAGCAGAACCCCAACATAGTATCTGCCTTGCTATTTTGTTAAGTTTTCTGGGATCTTTTAACTGGTGTTACATTTGAACAGTTTCTTTTTCAACCATTATATGTAGTTTAATACTGTTCAGTAGTGCTTTTTGGTTCTAAACCTTTCTCTGAGTAATTAACACCATTATATTTATGTGGAGAAGGAATGATTGTTTTGTTTTGATTTTTACCGGAATGCCACTTGCAATGTACTGGAATGGATGGAAAGACTGTTTATCAGAAAGAGAGAGAAGACATCAGCATTTAGGGAAATTAACAAGAAGCTTACTGAAGCAAAGTATTCAATGGGAAAAAAACACTTAACCAACAAACACCTAAATTAAAATTTTGCTTTTTCCTGACTAGAGAGGTAGTTATGATGACTTGAAAGATTTAAACATTAGGCCTGGTATAATGCAAAAATCTCTATGAAGGCTACCTTTTAATCTTGAATTCTTCAAGGCTAAAAAATTTGTTCACAGCTTTGAACTTTAGAGGTCTCTCAGGATGTAGAATAGTACACTTATACGTAAACAAAAGTTGCCCTGGCAAAGGGAAATAAATGTCTTCAGCAAGATATTTTAAATTTGGTTAACAGTGCTTTATGCACAAAATTCAAGCACTTAAGAAACAGCACTTCATTATCACCTTTTATATCATCAAATTGTTTTATCTTACTGATTTAATCTCATGCAATTAAAATTATTTACTGCCTTTTTTATTTCTTGTAACAGTTACATTTTCAAGAGGGAAGTGAAGCCTAGTAATGGTTTGTTGCTTAAGCTAATCACATGAATACTTCTCTATTTCATGTATTTTTAGAGAAGCCCTCAGCAACTTCTGTTTGCTGCAGAACACTGAAGAACTTGTAAATATTATATGGTTCTTACTCTTGAGAGCAAGTGCAGACCACTTCAGGATACAAGATGGATGTAATGGTATTTTAAAGACACAGATCTACTTAGTGCACTGGATTTGTCTGGTTTCATAAGAGGCCACTACTTAAGTGGAGAAGTATAGGGTTTTTTTCAATCAAAGCAAACTACTTAGTAGCAAAGCAGTCAAGTGTGCAAATAAGAATCAGCGAGTATATACTCTGAATTGTGAGGTTTTAGCTGAGTTGATTGTATCATATATTCCATTAGACACCTGTACTGTGTAAGATCAAAAAGAAAAATAACGTCCTAGCACTTATAAATAGTTTATGCTGAAGCTGTCTGAAAAAACAATTGTCAATTTCTTTTTTTTCCATTTTATTCAGGTTCTTAAACCACTAGATGTGAAAACCAAATTCTACAATGCTGAGGTAAGCAAGAGCTGTGTGTATTGGGGTTTATTTTGGTGTGCTGCATTTATTTCACGTTAGGTGGTTAGATTAAATTCAAAGAGCTTCTTAAGTAAGTGTTTCTGAGAAAGATGATCCATTCTGAAGGGAAAAAATTAGATGGTGGGTTTATATAATTTAGTTTAAAAATAGATATACTTGTGAGGAAGAGGGGAAAGAGATGGTAACTAAGGCAGACATGTCAGGACCTTAATGCGATTGACTGACAATTTTGCATATTTTCTGCTTTCCCGTCAACTCAAGTACTTTCAGTTATTGCTTCTATATTTAAGCTGATAGAGTGCTTACTGTAAGGGAGATTAATTGTTCACAAAGCAGATAATAATTTACCAGATTGGGGAAATTTAAATTTAATTTCCTCAATGTAAATATGATTCCTCTGTTCAATAATTTAATTTTTAGGTTTGTGAAAGTTATACAGAGTGCTTGAAAACTAAATTACCTCATATATGCCTTGTATATTTATTTGGACATACTTAGGCATCTGTCTGGCTATTTATGGGAAGAATTTTAACTGAATGTGACACAGATAGTGGAAACTCTTACAAATTACATATAGCTTTCTTTGTATTTGTAGATATTCCTTGTGGATGTATGTATTATCTAGATCTGTTGTAGGGTATAAACTTCCACAATGTGTCATTACACAGGAAGTTAGGGCATTGGTTTCCATCATTATCGCTTACCTGCTTTGTGATAGTGAGCAAGCAGCTTAATTTTGTGAGCATTGTATTCTGTATTGTTTGTATCTTTGCAACTGATACTGGCAAAGTACTTGGAGAGCTTCTGTTTTGAGTATGAAACTTTTTCCGTAACCCCTGAAGTATGGTCAGCTATTACATTGCTATTCATTTGGTTGAAAACCTTCATTAGTATTCTTAAACAATTTGTTTGAAATAGTTCAAAAAACAGAGTGAATTTGTAGTTGTTTTATATTGGGAGAAAAAAAGACCAAAGTGTCATTGAGAGGAGAATAAAATTTATGGAATGTTGGCAATTTAAAAAATAAGTTAAGTAGAAAATATTGTGCTCTCCTGTTTATTCTTAACTAAGCAGATATATGTGCTATGAATTTCCATGTAGAAAAGCAGAGAGTCTCCAAATCTATTGTTCTAATTATTTATCTCAATCCTAATCACACCTGGGGTTCATCATGCAAGATTATGGCTGTAGAAGTGTGAAAGGTGTATTTCTTTCCCTTCCTGACAGTATCAGTAGAGAAAACAGGGAGAAATGACAGATAAGAATTTCTGTTCTACAAATGAGGATTCCAGATGCAAAGATCTGTCTTGTTCAGAGTTGGATAGGAGACTTTCCATAAGGATTTTCTGTCTGCTGTGAATGAATAGCATGTAAATTATGAGACATTTAATATATAATGTATAAATTATTTAGAAGGAGGATGAATCAAGACATAGGTCATAACTGATTTAAATATTGTAGTACAGAGGAAAAGAGAAAAACATTATCCTAAAAATATCTTGGTACATGTGTCTAGGCCACAGGCTTCAATTCTTAGGTTGACCAGGTGTGAGATAGCTGAATAGGGTTGGAACATCAAGGGCTTTATAGAAGTGGTGTTATCCATAAATTGGAATATCTGGAAATGTCTCCTGCTGTGATTTAAGAACAAAAATAATCCTAAGAAACTAGGTAATTCCTCTGGGAACAAAACAAAGCTCCATTTTGTGGGTGGACTATATAATTGTTTCAGATCTAAAATACATAGTAGGGGAAAGGAGACAGATAAATTAAATGGTGCTGTCTCTCTATACTTTGCATGTAAATTTTGTTTTGTGCTGAAATGATTCATAATGAATGGGAATAAAAACATCTAAGGTAAATTCTGGGCAAATTTTTGAAAAGTATTCTTTTATTACAAAATTGTTTTACTGACTGACTTTGACAAGGGACTTAATAAACTCCATTCCTCAATTGGCCACCAATTCCTCATGATAAAGATCTATGGAGAAGCTTTGGTGTCCAAGCTGGTATTTGTGGTTTTTTGGTTTTGTGTTCCCCCCCAACCCCCAAAAGGTTTTAAAAGGCTGCTTTGATGCCTTTTGTTGTTCCTCTTCAGGAATTTATGCAACTCTTATTACCATAGTGTCATCATGATTGCTTGAAGAAATTTTTTTTTAAGATTTTGGATTATATTAATTGAGCAATTCTCATTTGCCTAACAAATGGATATAGTACCATTCATATTTAATTTCTGAAAGTATATAAAGTGCTGCTGTGTGTTGTGACCACAGAAATAAAATAAAATTAAAAAAACTAGAAATAAGTCTTTGGCTAGATGTTGTATGTGATACTACATTGCTGTCAAAGTACCAAGACCTTCCCTGAAGGTTTTTATTCTTGGGAGCAGGGCAGAAAAAAAAAAATGGTATGTGTCAGTTATTAGTTAACTAAAAGTCTTTAAAGGTTGACTAACCAGTTCAACTGTTATCATTAATATTGCAGATGTCATGCTATCTATTCATAAAGTCTGTCACTAAAACTATTTTCTACTAGAAATTGTAATCCATAATTTCATTTTTTCTAAGACAATGAATGATGCTGAACCTTAATTTTCTTGCTTGTTGCTCATATTGCAGTAGCATACAAATCAGTTTGATCACTGAAATTTGTGCATAGAATGCATGCCCTGTCACTGTGACCCGCTGCAATCCTCAGATTGAATTACCAGCTCCAGTCTATAGAAAGTCTCTCACTGCCTTTGGTCTGCTGTGGAAAAGGCTTGTAAAAGGTTCTGTTCCTGCAAACACGCATAGGGAGGCAAATATGCAGTCACTTAAGAAAAAGTTTGCAATTGAAGCTGTGTTTTTGGAATGATAGATATTTTTAAAAGTTTTTTCCTGCTTATGTTATGCCAAATTTTGTTAAGAGCTGCAGTATTGTAGCTTTGCTAGTACCCATTACTACATTATTTTTATTTTGAGACCTTATATACGTGGATACTTTAAATTGTCTATAAAATGACAAGGACTGTTTTTCCATTTCATATGCAACCCATTGCATGGATTCAAATTCAGGACAAACTTTAAACTTGCTCAAAAACTAACTCTTTTTGGGGGGTCAGTTTGTTCTACTATATCTTATCTGTGACTTGTGTGCCTTAGGCTGTACTTTGGATCGGTTCTGAAGCAAAGCTAGCTAAACCATATAGCAAATAGTAGCTATAACATATTAGAAATGTAGTTTCATCTTTGTTTGCATCCGTTTTTATTTACATTTCTGTCTTACTAATGCTTTCTTGTTTAGATGGTGCAAAAAAATGCAGAAATGCATTTTATTTGAAAGTTAGCCTCCTTTTTCTTTAACATTTAACCCTAATTTCTCTAATGTGTTCTTTTTTTATTTTCCCATTAGAGTGACCTCAGTTCTGTGGTAATTTTTATTTATTTTTTTATAAATATGTATGCTTTTTTAATTGCCTATCTGTCTCTGTGCTTGTTGACATTCTTTTAAAAACATAATGGAAAAGCAATGTTTGTTCTGCATATCATAAACTGATGTTTTCTCATCTATATATGGGCAGCTAATCATTTAAATGGTTAGCTCTTTCTTTAATACCCATTGTTGAAACTAGAAGTTGTTTATTACAGACTCTTGCTTGTGAGGGTCCTCCTATAAAGTACCTTACCAAAATTTTACTAGATTCGTTATTTGAAAATGAGAGTTAATCCCTCCTAATTTTTTCCTGCTTTTGACCCGTAGAAATATAGGTTTTACTACAGCATTGCTTGTGTGAGCTGTGACAGAACTTTTCATGTCTGGTTGGTGGAGACAGTGGGTTTGAGGAGAGAGCAGCAGTTGGATGTTCTTCCTTCTTTTTGCTAGCTGGAACTGCACTTTCCAACTTTTAACTGCATGTTGATGAGTTAGGATGGTAACTTCTGCAGTCTGATTTCACTTTAAAGTGTGCCTTGCATTAAAATAAACTGAATTCTTCTGAAATACTTAAAGTTTTTTTTAAAACCATATGATATTAAACCAAGTTAGGAGTAACACAAAACTAACTTGCTTTTTCATTATGCTGCTTGTTTTTTCTTTTCCCTTTCAAATGAGCTTTTTCTAAATTTCTGCGTATGGTTGCTGCATTGAAAACAACTAAAATTTGGGTAAATGGACACTTTGAGCAATGGATTTATGGGATATAAACAGTATAAATTTAAGTGACAGTCAGGTGGTAGTAGTAATGATTACTGAGAGCCATGTTTTACTCGAGGTTATTTCCAGCTCCTTTGGCAAGTGTGAGGTCGGTCCATAACCTGTGGAGCTTGCAGTTTTCATTACTATGTATATGCTATCATCTGGTTTGTGTTAAACATGTTTATAAGGCACAACAAATAGTTCCAGTACCATTCTATATTTCTCCTTCTAATACAATGCATTTTGAGACTAAAAATATTTTTACTATTTTGTCCCACTTTTATTTTGTAATTTACAAGCAAGACTCCATTTGTATAATGAAGTCATTTATTTATACTGATTAAAAAGGACTGTAAGCTTCCTTCCACATGAAAATACTTTAAAAAAAAATATCATAACAAAATACCTAAACTGCTTCAAACTGAATTTATAGAATAGAATATTTCATTGGAAGGGACCTACAACAATCATCTAGTCCAGCTGCCTGAATCAATAACTCCCTTGTATATGTTGATTTGTTACCTCCCCTCCCCTTTTTTTTAATTGGCCCTTCTTTTTTTTTTTTTTGCTTTGTTTTGTTTTGTTTTTTTTTCATTTCTCCAGGGGCTCATATCTCTAGTAGACTGAGCCTTCCATAATTATTCTACCCTGAGATTTAGAGCTGCAAAGTGACTTCACTGGTCTGCAATTCCACAGAAGAAGTGAGGCAAAAAACACCTCTATTTTTATGGTTTTTCAGCTTCTGAAGTTTAAGAGTCTGTACCTTTCATTTCTGTACTGAGTGACTTCACTGGTCTGCAATTCCACAGAAGTGAGGCAAAAAACACCTCTATTTTTACGGTTTTTCAGCTTCTGAAGTTTAACAGTCTGTACCTTTCATTTCTGTACTAGAATTGGTCCTTATATACCATCTTCAGGCATTAGCTTTGTTTAACAGATACATCTTATAGGAGGTTTTGAAGGTAGAGCACCAGTTAAATTGTTGGATCCCCGTAATATTGGTAACCATTGGCATGATACAACTGAGTGAGAGAGGTTGGTTTTTGGTTTTTAGATAGTACATGAATGTTTCATAATAATAATAAAGTCTCAGGGCATGTAACTGAACTATTTTACTTCCATTAAAGAAAACCAAACACATTTTAATTTTTTACACAGCTTGATGCACTAGTAACCTGGCATGGCATGTCGTTGTGCACTGCAATTCCTTTCCATTTATTCTATTTTTTCTTTTTTAATAATTTGGAGTAAAACCTGAGTTGCTGTTGAGTTGATGAAAGTCTTGGAAAGTGGTGCTCTGATGCATTACAAATAAGCAATAGCTAGAACATAGTGAAATTATCCCACATCCATTGTTTGGCAACATACCTGTTGACTAACACTTTTGCTCCTATTGTTACTGGGATTAAGGTTTTTTTCTTGCATTAATTAATTTGATTTGCAGGCATGAACTAAACACATGTGACTTTTTTTTTTTAACAATAGGACTGTCTACTCTTTTCAATAACATAAATCACATTTTAATGAACTTGCACTTTTGTGTTTTGTTTTGTTTTTTTTTCCAGACAGATGAAGTGTTTCTGGAAGCTCAGATTCAGAATATCACTACCTCTCCAATGTTTATGGAGAAGGTTTCTTTAGAGCCATCTATGATGTACAATGTTACAGAACTGAACACAGTTGACACAGCAGGGGAAAGGTATGTTCAGATTCAGGACACTTGACTTTGAAACTCTGTATTATGATTTCGTGAGATATAAGCATTGCAGTTTAGTGAGTTGTCTAATGGAGGGATTGTACTTCTTTGCTTGGTTATAAAGATCAAATTCTTGTTATGTATTCAGCTGGAAAAGCTGTTAAGAGTTTTCTTTTTATAGAGACTGTTCTTAAAATTTTGTAATGCTACCTAGTAGACAAATCCCCAGCTTAATCCTCAAATAATTGGCAATATGGATGACATGTTAACATGAAAACATACTACTTCTTCAGTATCTCCTATACAATATTGAGCCCATGTCTGGTTCTGACTTGATCTGTGCATACATACTTAGTCTTACAGGACTCATCTGACATGTCCTTGCTTCCTTCTAGTAGACTGGTAACTGTTTTCAATTGTTCTAAGCAAGATCTAGCAAGGCAGCAGTCAAGGTAAATTGGTGGAACATTCTTATAGGTTCTTAGAATATAAAAATTCGTCATGCTGAAAAAAATTAAATGTCATTTAATGTCAATTAGTAAAACTCTAAACACCAGAAGAATTTTCTTTCTGTGTTCAGTAAACTGTTGTGGATAGAAAGGCTTGTTATATCTGTGTAGAAGTTAATTTTGGCTGTTAGTGTTTTGCAGTTGCTTGGGGTTTTGGAGGAGGTGATATTTGGGTGCTTCTGCAGTGGGGGTTGAAGTGGAAATTCTGTTGTCTTCTGGCCTGTTGAAGGCTTCGCCTGCACCATAGTGGAGAATTGTTCTCACAAAGTGTTTGCATCCACTGTAATGATTCTTGTCCTGAATGGGAGTCTTAGGCTCATGACACTGAGGTTTACTAGGAGGGAACCAAATAGCAGAAGCAAAATTACCAGCATTGTTTAAATGCTAAGAAGCCAGGTAATAAATTACAGTGTAGCAAAGCGGATTTCCACCTCAGTTTTCTCTGCCTTAGATGACTCATTTTTTTTCCCCTTGATCCTTGATGCCATATAAATTCTAGAACTGTTTTCTGTTGTGAAAACACAAAAAATTCTGTGTGTTTTGCCATGAATAAAATACACACATAGACTGGTGAGGGATGGGAAAGAGGTTGGGTTTTTAAGTCTTCCTAAAAATAACTGTTTAAAGTAAGACCCAATTTTTTTTTTCTTTTAGTGAGTCTACTTTTGGTTCAAGGACTTATTTACAACCTATGGATACACGTCAGTACTTATATTGCTTAAAACCAAAGCAAGAATTTGCAGAGAAAGCTGGAGTAATAAAAGGTGTAACAGTGATTGGTAAACTAGACATTGTGTGGAAAACTAATCTGGGTGAACGAGGAAGGCTGCAAACTAGCCAGCTCCAAAGAATGGTAAGTTCAACTGAAGCATCAATTTTACTTAGCATCCATTTTTAAGGCAACTCAATGAACAATTTAATAATGACTTGAAGGAGAAGTTCAAGCTGCTTACTTTGGACCTCATTCTGAATTAATATGTTTCTATATGTATTTGAGAAAGTTATTGAATACATTTGGTCAGTGAAGCGTGGAAAAAACACTATTCAAGAGACTGTAGCTGAACAAAAACATTGTTGTTCCTTTTTGTCATGTGAATGGCAACACTTCTTGTTTTCTTGAGGATTTGTTTTCTGGCACGTAACATGCCTTCCTTTTTGCATAGCACCAAACAACATAACTTAATGGATTGTGCACTTGAATTGCAAGAATTAAGTAACCTATGTAGCAAAATACTCTGGTTAGAATAAAATTAACTTGGATGCCATTTGGCAACAAACTGAAAAGCAGTGACAAAAGATCTACTTTGAGTATGCTAACTGTTGATGTATAAGTCTGCTCCCTCATTCATACAGACATTTTAGCTTCAACAAACAATTTTTATGTATAGGATAATGCTATTTATCTTTCATGTCTACAGTTTTGATTTAATCTATTCTAGTCTGGTTGATTTAGAAATTGTTCGTTAATTGTAATTACTAGCTTGCTTAAGTCAGCTGCACAGCCTGTCTACTCTAATGCCTAAACCTCACTTGCACCTTTTGTATTGAGGGTGGTGTAATATGTGAGAGAAGTAAAAAAGCTTTGTCAGTTTAACTTAGTCTGAGTTCACAAAACTTGTAATCGGGTTTCTGCCTTGGTCTTTCCCCCTGCCCCCATCTAGTAGTAAATTGAGCAATTCTATAGGGAAATCAAATTGACTTGGAACAGGCAAGCAAACTTGGACCCTGGAAATTCACAGCTAAGTTGCTAAAACTTCTCTTTGTTTTTAATTGAAGTGTTAACATATCTGCATAACCTCATCAAATCAGAAACTGCCCTTTTTTCTAAGCCTTACTGCTGTTACTTTGACACTTGTTGCTTGTTTATTAACCAATAAACTGTCCTGTTTTCAACTGACCTTTCCTATTTCTCTTCAAAGATTCCCCCCCCCCAAATCAGTATTCTATCACTCTGCATGCCTTCTTGTTGAACCTTTGAGAAATGCACTTTGAAATACAGTGAGATTAACAGAACTCCACACTCCAGGATTAGTTTTAGTCATCCATCACTGTTTCATGCTAGTGATTAACAGATAAACTGAGCTATTTTATGTACTTTGAGCAACATCTGTCTTTGGAAAAGCAGCAAACAGTTTTTGGGGTTTTTTTGCTCTTTGAATTGCAGTGCAACTCCCTGTTGTCTTCTCCTCATCTTTTAAGTGCTATCAGATTATTTAATTTCTAGGCTTCTTCCATTGTTGTCCTCCTAATCCATTTATTAGCCCTGTAACCATTGTTTCCCCCACAAGCCCAGAATTTTACCTGTACTGTGCCCCTCCATCATTGTTTTGGTTCAGATCAGAAATGCACTTGTGGTACAAGTATCCTGGATCACCCCACGTACAATAATTTGGGTTTTTTTGTGGAGTGGTCTTGGAATTCACAACTACATTCTTTTTGAGTGACATTTAACCAGACAGATGCATGTCCACAGTATGCCAAGGGTGCTCCACCTGCTCATGGGCATTCAGTCCAGGGCTAGACTGGAACAGTCCAAAGTTAAAGAACATTATTCTTGTTTACCACAAGCAAGGAATTGTCTAGTTAATTCCATACTCTGAGCAATTACCTCATTTTTGGATGAAAACTACTTTCCTCCTTTTGGTGTTACTGTAAGGCCTTTACCTCTAGCCATCAGCTGTTGCAGGTATCTCATTGTTAAGGGCAACACGTATGTTCTGGTTTAGGCCTTTTCATCTGCTCTCATCCTCTCTTGATTTGAATTGCTGCTAAGTTTATCCTAAAAAATACTGCTTTTATTGTTGTTTGGTTTTTTTTTCCTTAATATAGCTCTTAAAATAAGAGTCTAATGTTATGACAAACTACTGGTTGTTTAGGGAACTGGGTATAATTTTTCCAGTACATTCCTTCCTGTCACCTAGTACAGCTAAAAATCTGTGCCTTTTTCCAGTGCTGGATAAATTACTTCTCTTTCTTGAAAACTTCCAAACTTACATTGCTCAACTGGTCTGAAGTCTCAATCGGTTGACATCCCTTTGCTCACGCTGATATCCAATTTAATACACTTTCTAAAATGTCATCCATCTTCAGTCTGTAATGAACTGTATATGACTAAAACCTGTTCCCAACCTGTCAGACACTGGCTTTCTGGACTTCTTTGGGAATATCTTTTAATCAAGCTGTAAATGTAACTTTGACTACAGCAACCTCCTGTGAGCAGAATTGGAACATGTATCACAACTAAGCCTTGTCAGGCAGGACAAATTTTTCCCTTGTTTTTCCCTTGCAATCTATAATTTTTGGGGACTGAAAATCTAAAGCTTTTTACCTGAAGGTTACCATCTTGAATCAGCCCTTTCTAGTAGTAACTAGGATATTTATCATAGATTTGTTAGTAGACTATATGAAATGTGTTCAGCTCTTGACAGAATTGGGTAGTTGACAGGTGTTTGTATCATGTGCCTTTCTAACTGGTGGCAATTCATTATTTAGGCAGATAGCAGATGGATGTGCCAAACAGGTCTTAGAATAAAGCTGATCTTCTTGGGAACTGTATACAAGTGTTCAAACTTTAAGGATGTGAACTATCTGAAAAACTTAGTAATAAAGATCATGCTTGCCTAATTAATTGTTAAACCTATCAAGAAGGTGGTCATCAGTAGTGGATGGAGCACGACTGTGATTTGGGTACAAATCAAAAGCACAAAGTCAATTTTCTTTCTTCAGATTCCTCTTACTCCAAGCTTGTTGCAGTAAGTGAAAACTTGAGCAGTAAAAACTTCAGCTTTACTATCCAGCATCTGAGAATATACATTCTTGTACCTTCTCAGGCTCCTGGTTATGGTGATGTAAGGCTTTCTTTGGAGACAATACCAGACACCGTAAATTTGGAAGAACCTTTTGACATTACATGTAAAATAACAAATTGCAGGTAATGATGTCATGTGATTCTTGTGCTTTTTCATGAGTGGGTAAGTTGTGGCTGTCTTTGTCTCATTTTTCAGGACTTTCTCCTGAAACAAATCAAACCTGACTTTACTATGAGTTGTAGCAACATGAAACTACTTGAAACATACCTTTTGGATTACAATGATTTTAAAAAACCCAAAGAAACAAAAAAAACCCGCCTTCTGTCATGATCTGTTAATACCATTTGAACTAGGAGATTGCCAGAAAATTGTAGTGGAATTCCATGGAACTGGCTTGCAGTATCATTTAAGATGGCACCCCATACTTAAATCACAAAGCATATGAATTCTTCTTAGTCAATCATCTAATAACAAAACGAGCATGTTTATAGGATTTTTTTAACTACAAGTAATTTTATCAGAATAAGTGATGCTTTTTAAGTCCAGTCTGATTTTACTGCTAGTTCTGCACCACTGCTAGAATGCCTGCTAAACGTTGCTACCATGATTTTTTGTATGTCTTTATCCATGTTTTGACTTGATTTGTGTTTACAGAAGGATCTCCGGTAGCCCTTTATAAAAGGGTTGCAAGAGTGACACTTAAATAAAGTAATTCTACACAGAAGTTGAAGCCAGGGACTAAAGCGGGTACTTCTCATTAAAATCTTGTACTGCATCCAAATTGTGAGCAGTATTACCCAGCTATCCTGTATTGCTAAACCCATGACAGGATGCTTGTGTCAGACAGAGCTATATGCAACTGAATTACTTTGCGTCCCAGTAAATCTTGCTTGCTGCCTTATAAATATTTATAAATGCTTGATTAATAGTGAACTGAATAATAATCAAGCTTTTACATGTCTGCAGTCCTTGAATGCTTAAAAAAAATCCCACAGGTTTATTCTTGCTTTTGAATTTCCTCTAGCAGTGAAAGGACTATGGATCTGGTTTTAGAAATGTGCAATACTAATTCCATCCACTGGTGTGGAGTTTCAGGAAGGCAACTTGGAAAGCTTCACCCGAGTTCATCCCTCCATCTCGCACTTACATTGTTGTCTTCAGTACAGGGATTGCAAGTAAGTCCTGATAGCATAGTTTTGTTATAAAATACCTGGTTTATAAGCTTAGTAATTCTTTCTAATAATAACTCTTATAAATATTTTCCCTTTCTAGAGTGTCTCTGGCTTAAGACTTACAGACACGTTTTTGAAGAGAACATATGAGTATGATGATATTGCACAAGTCTGTGTAGTTTCTTCAGAAGTCAAACAAAGCTGAAGAAAAAATTCTGTATTTCTGCTGGGCTTTTTTCTTTTTTTGGACCAACTTCTTGATGGTTTTGCAGCTGAAATCATTAAAATGTGTACAAACAAAACCAAATCCCTATATATCTACAAACAAATGTAACTATGCTTATTTAATTTCTCTGAGCATTTTTTGAATGTTTTAAAATCTTTTAAAAACATGCATATGAATTTTATCTCCTGAAAATAAAGCCTTTGAAAAAAGTGGGGCTCTAGAAAATTATATTGCATTAACATCACCTCAGAGCAGGGTGGTGAGATTGATATGAAAGAGTAGCACTTTGTACTTATTTTCATTATTTTATTTTTTAAATATTGAAAGTTTAAAAATCGTGGTTCTGACAAAACTGCTTCAGTTTGAAGGAACTGGCCTTTTACAGACAAGTTCCTGAATCCAGACCCCTGTAAGAAAAACACAGTGTGTACCTTGTGTACTTTTGTGGTACGTGCATAGCCATAAGAACTAGAGCCTGAGAACGGCATGAGGTGAGAGACTGCAGCTGGCACTGCTGAGGCACTAGCAGCAAGGAAGTAGAGCATCAGCCAAAGAATGTGCTGGTTGGGGCTCAGTCTTTTGAAAGGAATAACACAGCAAATCTGTCCCAATTAGCTGCGGTCTTGTGCAGAGCTGTGTGTCCCTGCAATACAGGGCATGCTGTGAACAGGCACGTTACTTCCCAAATAGTAGTGAACTGAAAACTAAACTAGCAAAAAACTCATTTTTTTTATTGTTAAACTGAGGCAGTGCAAATTATTCTTCCCGTTTAAGTAGATTTTTAGGAATATGAAGAGAAAAACCCTGCATGGCTGCCCCAGATCAGGTTCTATAAAGCATATACAGGAAGGAATTCAGGACTTGTTTAAGCACTGAAATGTACTTTTCCCTAGCTTTGTTCTGACAACAGATGGAAAAATATCTTTGGCTGAAACATCTAAGGTCACCCAAAGGTAGCCACTTAATAATGGTGACTGGGTTTCCTAGTTTTAACAGTAGCTAAACTAGTGTTAAAGATTCTACTCAGTGGCTTGTCATATTTCTTAGCTACCATATTGGTAGTTAGCAACCTTACTTAGTTTTGGCAGTATTTTACTTAAGGCTTTCCTGTGTGTAAAATCTTTAAATGTAGAATTCAGTTTTAAAATACTGGATAAATTTAGGACCAGCTAACTGAATTGAGGGAATGAGCCCATACTGGGGAAGAAAAAAAAAAAAGAAATTAAAACTGTATCCTGCACATCTTAATAAAATGCATAGCAACCAACATAAACAGGCATTTTAAAGAATGTGATTTACCTGTTACTCTAGATATATCAACAAACTAAAACAGTAAAACCACAACTATCCAGACAAAAAATGTAAATAATTTTATTTATAATTTATTTTCAAGTTAAACTGACACAAGTTGAAGGGAATGTAACCATAGGGTAGTAAGAGGTAGGAGATACAGAAATGGTAGACAAGTTGCATTTTGCTAGTATGACTTTCTGTAGATCTGAAACAGTGTATGAATCCAAAGCTGCAGACTTAGTTCTTTTTCAGTATGCATGAGTGAATTTACTTTGTACTTGTTAATAAAACCAAAAGTGCAACTGAAACAATTTCTAAGCTGAATATTTCATTAGGTATCTTTATCATTCAGGCACAGTTAGAAGAATATAATTCCATGCAAGCAGGTTACAGGCGTTTACAAGTTCGGTGCAAAACATTTTCTTCTCTAACAATTGTAACAACTTATATGCTGATGGAATAGTAATAATACAAAACTGATTAGGTGTTAAATGCGCATTTGCTCAGTTGAATGATAAACTGCAATTGACTTTAAATTTTAAAAGTGTTTATGGGAATTATGGTTTACCACTTGATGCAGCAGGATGAAAAATGTTAGTGCAAAATAAAGTGCAGTGATTACAAAGGAAAAGATTCCTTCCTCACCCTGTGATTAAGACATATTGCATGACTATGTGAAACAAACTAGCCTATTCAAGTCAAAATGGACTTTAGCATAAATGATCCCTCTGTTCCTGGTTTCAATGGAAAAGCATGTAATGACAGCTCCTGTTATTGGTTTCACCATTTTTTATTTAGGCTATAAAGCCCTTTCTGTTAATATACAAGAAACAAAGAATGTTTACGAGTTAAGTATTGTGCCAGTTGTAGCGTATTCCTAAAGGGTTAGCTAATGCTATCAACATTTTAATAAATATTTTCTGTAGTAGAGTAAAACCTAAACATGACAATATTGTAGTATGTGAAATGAAAGTTACCACTCAATAATTTCAAGAGTAGTTTTCAGATAACTAACCAATGCTTCATTCCATTTAACTTTGGGGATAAGTTCTCCTATTAATCCAGTAAGTTATAGGGCTTGTACTTGACAGTACAACTTCTACAGCCAGTCTTTGAATATTAGCATATTTTGTAGTTCTTGAGAAACTCTCAAGAGGGTCTTGACACTATTTCTGTCTTAAAGTAGAAAGGTTACTGACCGCATGAAGACTGCTGTCTCAAAGTAAGGTGTAAACTGGGTTTGAGAGACATTGCAGTGCAGTACAGTCCAGTCCACTCTGGATTTGTTGGTTCCCTTTACCAAAGTTAGTAAAACTCATTGGGAGGAGTTGGAAATATGAAAGAGAGAACTAAGAGGAACTGTTTAACAAGAGATGTGCTAGGAGCAATGCTTCTCTTCTGACACAACACACTACTCCAAGCAATGTCTGTACAGCAGTCATAGCCCACCTAGAGCCTCTATTAATCTTTCTTGTAAATGGTATCCTGTCCTATTAAATGTAATTGAACTTAAGTAACAGTTTCCTTGAATGGATTAGATTCAGGATCTGAACTACCTCTGAAAAAAGATCCTGTTGTGGATATTCTTCTTTCTCATCAGATGTTAAGTCAGAAAATATATTAGAAATGTATTTAATATAAAGCTTAAGTATCTCTATAGCCTCAAAAAGGCAGCTACAGCTACTTCTTTAGAGAATTTAAAAAGCATTTTAATGCTGGGTATAGGTAAGCTCTATTGAATAAAGTATGAAATGTCTTACAGTTGTTTAAGTTGCTCTATTAAGCTTTACCTTATTTTTCAACAGATGGTAACACAGATTTCCTATTTTTGTGTTTTTTCTAATTGTTTTCATTTCTCCTTGGATCCAGCTGCATTTTCCCCCTATGTCAGTAGGGGGATTCATACAATAGATGCACTACTAGCATTTGTTAAGAGTCAAGTACATGACTTAGCCCCAAATGTTGCTTTTGCTTCTACCTGAGGTGCTCTTTTTGGACCACAAGATGAATCAGATATAATGTCTGAGGTCCACGAGTTCCTGTGTATTTCTCCATTTGGGAGTCTTCTGTTACTCCTCCACATACCTTCTCCAGTCCAACTGGCCAGCAGAGATCACTTTGTTTTAGGAATCAGAGCAGGTTCCTCAAATTAGTTTTGATATACAAAGAGGAAAGTGTGAGTGGTGAGAACCTCCCTGCAGTAAAAACAGGTGTACCTTGTACCAGAAAGCAGTATGAACAGTAAGCAGAATAAAAAAAGTTAACATAATAAAAATACAGAAAAGCAGTGGTCTTTGAAAGAGTAAGATTAACTGAACAAGAAAAGTCAGGGTAGGAAAAGAAATAGTACAGAGTGGAAAAGTCTTTCAGTTTGCCATATACATCACTTAAGATAGATATGTGTAATGAAACTTGAAAACAAAAATCCTTAATTGTTTAATCTAGTGATTTACCACACAAGAACAGGAAGAGAATCCTTCTAAGGCAGTTATTTTTTGATAAAATTTTCAGTACTAGTTATTTTTACAGTCACAGGATCAGTTTCAGCTTATTACAGTTAAGAATTTTAAGCTTATGTTAAATACTGCATACATACGGAATGTAATACAGTTTGCCATGCCTAGGAAAACAGTGACATAATGCTGACCTCCAGGGCTACCATCATGATTTGAGGGTATACATGGCAGCAGAAAAGCCTAAAACTTCTTAATATGCTTTCCTTTCCCAAGCCAAGTTCCATTTTGGTTTCTGGGTATTATCCTATGCAGGATTAGTGTCTTATCTTTCTCTACAACTTCTGGTACTCCCTCATATGCAATCATCTCCTTCCCTCCTGCTCAATGAAGCTGAAAAATATTTCATGTTACTAATGACAGCCCCTCCACAGGCAAAAAGAAACAGACTTTTCAAGCATTAGTTTTAAGTACACTCTATACTCCAAAACTGATTTATGCTTGTTATAAAGGGGCACATCAATAGGTGAGCCTGTTGTAATGATTTTCACCATAAGAATAACATGTCTTTCATACTCAGAATTAAGCTGTTATGCAAGATCAGCGCACTACAAAACTCCGCCCCACTCAGTAGCCCTGGAGATCAATCTGATGCACGTACTGAAAATGACTTGTACTTAGGGATTTTCACAAATCACCTACTTTGTGTATTAATTTTCAGAGGACTAACTATACATAAACGATATGTTCCAAGTTAGGTGCAATAGATCTGTTTAACAGATTTATTCTTGTTTGCAAACACACACAAAGAATTTTCTGTCTTCTATTCAAGCAGAAGAGTTACAATGGTGCTTTTGCTACTAGCTATTATATGCATTTAGGGGTTATATACCATTACAATTCACATGCCTCCTTTAAGTCAGGAATGCTCTTCAGTGCTGCCACTGAAAGATCTGCTCCGGACATGATTTCTCAGTTGCTCTATGAGCTCTGGATTCTGCTGCTGTATCTGTTGTGCAAACTGCTGCCCCCTGTGTTGAACAGTTTTACATAAAATCAACAAGTGAAAAAAACTGACAAGCAGCATTTTTAAGAAAACAGGATATCCCAGTACAGCTGAAAGGTGCATTATATAAAAGTTAAGACCAAAGATAACTTGCTGTATAGTCTTAATCAAGATATTTGTAGTATTATGACTTTATCTAGTCAACGTCTCTCCAAACAGGATTATCATCAGACCTTAATTTTCAATCTTCAGGACTATTACTTCTACTTGATAACATGGAGGAAAAAGTATTACCTTACTTGGTAAAACTAAAATTTTGCAACAGATCTGCTCCAGTGATTTTCTCCTTTCTTTTAGAGAGGACCCATTCTAGTTGTTTAGGATAACTGTTCTAGTTGAACTGCAATGTTGTATTAGTTTTTCTAGAAATACAGTGTGTGGCTGCCAACTTGTACTTATAAGCAAGACACCATAAGTAGAAAGCAAGCATACAGTTACACCTTTATGTGTTGTATGACTGAAGTAATGACAGATCCATCTCCGTAACAGTTGTAGCTTAAGAGTTAAATTAATAGGCGAGATTAATTCCATGTAAAAGATAATTACACTGGCTTACTAGAAAAACCAAGTAAGTAAATCTCATTACTTCATGAATAGTCTGGCATGGCTTCTCTGTAACTTCTGCATTTTGCTCAAGTAGCAAATTATCCAGACTCCTCTAAACCACAGTGCAGGTTGATAGAAAGCCAACATTTTCATAGATCTAGGTGTAGGACGTGGTTTTTGTGAAAACAGCCCTTGATTTTGTGGGGGCACATTCCTGTCTGAATGTGAATTTTAAATTAGTTTTGCCTTGAAGGGGCAAAACTTTAGTTTCATAGAATGGTTTGGGTTAACCCCCTGCAGTGAGCAGGGACATCTTCAACTACATCAGGTTGCTCAGAGCCCCGTCCAGCCTGACCAGGGTTTCCAGGGATGGGGCTTCCACCACCTCTCTGGGCAACCTGTGTCAGTGTTTCACCACCCTTACTGTAAAAAATTTCTTCCTTTTAGTTTAAAACCATTACCCCTTGTCCTGTCACTACAGCTCCTGCCCAAAAGTCTGTCCCCATCTTTCTTATAGGTCCCCTTTAAGTATGAAAAGGCTGCAATAAGGTCTCCCTGGAGCCTTCTCTTCTCCAGGCTGAATAACCTCAACTTTCTCAGCCTTTCATCGCAGGAAAGGTGTTCCATCCCTCTGATCATTTTTGTGGCCTTCCTCTGGACCCCCAGCAGGTCCATGTCTTTCTTGCACTGAAGACTCCAGAACTGGACACAGTACTCTGGGTGGGGTCTCAGCAGAGCAGAGTAGTGGGGGGCAATCCCCTCCCTCAACCTGCTGGCCACACTTCTTTTGATGTAGCCCAGGATACAGTTGACCTTCAGGTCTGTGAGTGCCCATTGCCGGCTCATGTCCAGCTTTTCATCCACCAGTACCCCCAAGTCCTTCTGCACACGGCTGCTCTCATTCCCTTCATCCCCCAGCTTGTACTGATACTGGGGATTGCCCCAACCCTGTTTGAAACAGGCTAGAATGCTGAAATAAAGTGAAACTGTATGCCCAATAAAAGGTCTTGCCATATAAGCAAATGGCATGTTTTTGTGCAGACTCTTCCAGATGGATTATCATTATTATACTATAAAAGAGTCAGGTCCTGTAAAAGCTACTCATCGTTATACTGAGTCCCTGAAGCCTTCCTAGTCTAAATGGAGGGATGCCAGAGCAGAAATTGTTTAAACTTTACTTAGCAGCTGTGCTAAGTAAATCTGTAGCTTTTCTAACTAATGTCTGGGATATCAGGTAGTAAATTTATCAACACAACTGGAAAGCACATGTAAGAATACTTAAAAGATTTAAAGGAACAATTTTTAGGAAGTGGCATTTGGAAAATAAACAGTATATGAGAACCAGAAAGTGAAACCGAGCACACAGCTCAGTCACTCCAATTGATGAAAATGTACAAAGCAAACAAACAAGATGATAGTAAAAAATGAGTCTTCAAGTTCTCAGTTTTAATAATAAACAGGCATACAATGAGGACAGGCCACAGTATAACTGGCTTGACACCATAGCTTTAAAATAGATGTTGCAGAATAATGCTTCTACAAATGTGACAGTTAAAACTATGCAATTCTTACTTACGCATGGATCAGGCTGGACAAATCTGACAGGCCACCAACACCTGCAGCAGGGCCACCAATGGCGTTTGACATCATCCCTGACATCCTGGAACAGTTAGCACAGTGTTGGCATTGGGGTATGCAGGGACCTTTCAGTAAGCAATAAACTGTAGTTATCTTGAATTGCTGTAAGGAAATAAGCTGCAAGAGGAAGAAACTGCAGTAGTTTTATTTACAGTAAGCAAGAATAAAATTACATTTTCAGGAATATAGTCCTATCCAACTTTTCTCTTCAATAATTCAAATACCTAAAGACATTTGTTTAACGGTACTCCATTTTAATACTTACAGTTGTTGAACTTGAGGATTCTGCATTAAGCTTGCTGCCTAGAATAGATAATATACAGTTGAAATTATAACACATTTACTACTTAGGTATTACAGAGGAAATGTGGGAAAAAACCCTCAAAAAACCCACATGTTGTGTTTTATGTTTTATTACAAAATTAAGCTAAGTTTATGTGCACAGAGATGTATGGTCCCCAGCAGAAAGAATCATTACAGGAACGTATTTCAAGGATATGAAGCTGAGACAATTTGTTGCATGTTAGATAAAAAATACTGGTTACAGATTCAGATATGAAAAATATGACAAGATGACATTAAACATAAAAATACAGTACCAGAAAACTAAAAAGAAAAAAAAAGTTAACTTGCCAAGGACAAAGGTTTCCTATTTGGCTTTTGGAGAAATGTCTGTATTTTGTTGATTCCCAGCCTGGATAAATCAGTTTTGCACAGATACAACAGTGCAAAATATTGCAGAGTAAACCAGAGTGTGGACTTATTTTGTAGCATGGTTTTGTGGTGTCCTGGTTTTGCTAGGATAGAATTAATTTTCTTCTTCATAGTTACAATAGCTGTGTTTTAGGTTCAGTATGGGATTTGTTATGAGAAGAATGTTGATAAAGTACCAATGTTGTTAGTTGCTGCTGGAGCTCAAGGCCATCGTGTTTGGCTGGTTCACAGCTGCACAAGGACTGGGAGGGAGAAGTGCAGTGAACAGCAAAACTCCAAACTGGCATTTGGATGTGCCAGTGAAATATTCCAGATCATATCCCGTCATGTCAGTATATTAACCAGGGCTGACTGGAAATCAGGGGTGTTTCTCTCGGGGATCGCTCAGGCTGGTTCTTGTGGGGTTTGGGCTACGGGTCTCGGCTCCGGGATCACTGGCTGGCACAGGTTGGGCATCACTCGGCGGGTGGTGAGCAGTTGCACTGTGCATCACTCATTTGTATAGTCTGTTATCACTGTTGTTATCATTATCATTTTATTTTAAATAGTAAAAAGCTTTTATCTCAACCCACAAGTCTCCTTGCTCTTTCCTTTCCAATTCTCTCTCCTACTCCCTGGAGGGGGTGAGGGGAGTGAGAGCAGGCTGTGTTAAAGGGTGAAACCACCACATGTGGTAACATTTATCTTCTGTGGTAACTGCATATCTTCTTACTTTGTAGTAAGCATGAGGTTATTTAAATTTCTCATTCATAAGACACCTCAAAAATAATATCATGTTTACCATAGTGTAAGGGTGTACATGGACAGACTAAACCATGTGATGTTTTAAAGTTATATATAATTCCTACAGAAATCAGTGTCTGTATAAATACAAGACCGATAGGCACAACACAGTATCTGCTTATTTAGTCGCTTATTAAAGGTACTACAAAAGTCAGATATAGACAATATTCATTTTAATGATAAATATATCTCCATATCTATCTATCTATCTATCTATCTCAAAAGTAAATCAGCTGTTTAATCTACAGTTGGATATAAAATGCCAAATTCAGGTCAATTCTATGGGTGATACGGGATTTTTTTTTCTTTCCTCCATCAGTAACAAGTCTGATCTAGGTTAGGGGACCAAAATGGAGGCTAGAAGTAACCTTCTCAAGTCAAACAGTGAGTCAGTTTTTTTCTTTCAAAACAAAACAAAGCAAAAAACTACACCACAGGAAAATCATTCATTCTTTCCTAGCTGAATGCCCTGTGTTCTATCCACTTGACCACGCATCTTCTGGAAATGACACAAAAAATCCTTTTGCTATAGTTAGCTCCACATTGAAGCTCTTTTGAGAGCTCTTTTGACTCATACCTCTTTTGACTCTAAACAGATGCAGACTATCCAAGTAAGTCATGTGGCCAGTGAAGTAGTACGTAGAGTTCCAGTGCTATTTAATCACTAATGCCATTGGAGAACTCGCTCACTTCTTCCTTGTCTACCATCTCTATTCTTTGGACCATAGTATCGGACTCGATGTATTGACCTCTCTTGCATGTAGTGCATTTACACGTGGGAGCACTGGTTGAAATACCCTGTCCTAATGAAGCTACCAGAGAGGCAATAGAGTTTTAACTGCGTTCTCAAAGGATACGTATTTTTCGCATTTTTTTTCTCCAAATTCCATTCTTCAAAGTTAATCAATACCATTTAGCTAAGAAAGCCATGCACAGAGAAAAACTACTGAGGGACAAAACAACAATTTGCCATTATATTGGAAGTAAAGGAATGCACTATATGTTATTTATATTCAGTGTTTGCCCATGTCATGACATTTTGCACACTTAAGGATGTCAGGGATAATTTGAAAGACTAAGAACAGAGAGGTCTCTTGGGTAGTTCTTTCCAAGCAGAGTTACTTTAGTCTTGGGTAGACTCCATCTGAATCAACTGCTGCTCATTTAAGAGGTGATTTCTTTGCAATCATTGTTAACTGCTATGAGAAGAAGAGACATTTTCATCATGCTGTTGACAAGTGTTTTACTATCATGTCATCTATAAAAATATCATAGCTAATCTATACTAGATGTTGTTCAAAAGTAAGATAGAATCAACTGGAAATAAGACAGGCATTGTAGGAGATTTATGCTTCACTTCTTGTTTTGAGTGTGAAATGACTCAGAAAAGTTAAATGCACTATAATGAAATCATTGCATTATAGCATTAAAATTGCTTGTGTTATGTAAAGCTTGAAATATACTCACCATACTAATGAAGGCAGGATTGTTTATCAAGCTTGCCATGTCAAAACTCAGTCCAGTTCCAGTCTACAAACAAATTGCAATTGCAGGTAAGTTTATCTAAAATATCCCAGTTATCACTATTGTAAATAAATAGATACAGAGCTAACTTACAGGACTGGACATATCTCTTAGTTTCTGTTCCGCTATTTTCAAATTTGATTTATAAGAGTCATTCTCTGGATCAAGATCCAGTGCCTTTTGGTAACTGGTAACTGCTTCTTCATATTTATTCACTGAGGTCAGAGCCAACCTAATGCGAAATAAAGAAATCCTAGGTAGAACATAAATGACCATATAAAGATAATGATACATTTTCTGTTCTAAGTAAAACGGCATAACACAACTCATTTTTAGCTTGAGCACTAAGTTAAAGCAAGTTTTGCTACTGGGCTACTGCTGCTTAGTGTAAGCACTTGTTTTTGCTGAAGAGATGATCCTTCAAGAATTCATCTTGCATTGTCTGTTCTACATTAAAAACTCCTTGGCATAATCAAGTGATTTAGCCTGTATTTGAGAGAGCAAGCTGGATCCATCATCCATGATGCATAAGCTCAGGAATTCCTCCAAGTGTTTCCTCGAGTGCTTTTGATCCAAGAGACTATTCAGAAGGGTACACAGGTAAGTAGAGCAGAGATACTCTTAACGTGAGTTCTGCAGCTTCAAGAAATCAAATACAAGAACCACAAGTTTCAACATAATAGATTTTTGTCTTAGGATCAATGCAAGGTTCTCCTTTCGGATCTTCTGCTTCAATAGCTTGACAAACCGTTTACACAAGACAGTAGTAACATCTGTAAGATGCTGTAAGAAACCTTTGTATCTGGGAAGTTTGCTTTATGTTTTGAAAAAGATTATTCTCCAGCAGCTCAGGAGAGCACAGAACAGATCTACTACTTTTGAAACAGTTATTGTTTCAAATTCGACTAGCTACTACATTTAAAACATCATCTTCCTTTGAGCTATTCTGGAAGTCCTTCTGGTTGCAGTTTCAATTCTATCTTCAACCGTGTTTTCAATTTATACTGACCACAAAATTAAACTAATCTTTCCACATTTTGTGAAAGATCTGTGTAACCCACATTCCTGTTTAGTACTCCAGTCCCCCTTTGGTATGTGCTGACCTACACAGACTGGGTTGATAAGCCTGTGTTAATGCCTATTATAAAACTTTAGTCTTTTATCTCAGGCAAGAGAACTCAGTGTTTGATACATCAGTCACAGTCATTACTCACAGTGATGTTGAGCTCAGTAACAGTATGAAACTCCAGGAGTTTCCAGTAACGCTTCTGGAGGAACCCATGCAGTATTAATGTTTTCTCTCTTAACACAGTTACTCCCATAAAAAAACATTCTTCCTTTTGGCCCATTAACTTGCAAAAATAGTTTCTGACCAGACAAGAAATGCCATCTGGTATTTCTGTGATGCAATAGTGGTTTTTTACAGATTAAGTAGGTAAAATTCTGCTTCTTGGAACACAATACAAGTCAGAACAGTGGCCAACAGTTTCTTTGCTCACAAGGGTAACTGCCATATCAGCGAAGCCATGGAGGCGAAGGGCTCTGGAGCAGGGCACTGCGCCGGGGGCCTCTCCTGAAGCGGCAAACCACGGCGAGATCAGCCGAGGCCAAAGCGCTGGCAGAGAGCGTGCCCCAGCCCCCCCTCCCAGAGCTGCTGACACACGGCAGATGGCACAGCATGGCCGTTGCCAACGCCACTGTGACCACACACAGCCCCTTACTGTCACCTCAGGAGCCACCCAGCACAGGCAGGGGAACAGCGCCTGCGCATCGGCCCGCAGCAGTTGGCACAGGCAGGGCACACGGGAAGGGCGCAGTGACCCTCCTGGCTCAGGGAGGCTGACACAGGCAGTGGCCATTGCCTTCCCTGAGGGAGACACAGCTGTGGTTGCCACTCGACTGAAAACCATCACTAGGAAGAGTGTGGCAGCTCAGACGGAGGTCCCACGCAAACGTGCAGCTGCATGGAGTGCCTGAGCCTGTCACTGCTATAAGATCTCCCCGCAGCCTTCTCTTCTCCAGGGTGAACAGCCCCAACTCTCTCATCCTTAGAGATAAGGATGTCATGCAGGACAGTGTCAAATGCCTTGCACAAGTCCACTTCTGCATCTTTCTGTGACATACAGTGTTTCTGTCAAATCCTGAGAAAAACTGATATACCTGCATAATGCAGTCGGAAAACACAGCTTTCTCATAAGGAATTTTTGTTGAGAATGTGTTTTCTGCACTTGTTTTTTTCAGTTATTACTAAACAAGCACTGTTTCCTCATCCAGCCAATACATGGCAAATGTATTATTATAACCATCCGCTGAGTTAAGCAATGGCTTGTAGCTCAAAATATACCCTCTATCAAAAAAACCCAGAAAATCAGCGTAAGAGAAGCGTGATTGCCTGGGAGTGATCCCACTTACTTTGTGTATCAAAAGGTCTTACACCCAAAACTCTAAAATAACCTCCAATTTCCAATTAAATCAGCCTGTAGCTTCCCTTCATCTTACTAAAACTAGAGGATATCAGGTTGTGCTATATGAAGAAATGACCTAAAGTCAGTTAAATAGGACAAAACCAGTTCAACAGTCCCTCAAATTTCAAAGTTAATTAATCGTCTCAAAAGTCAGTCAGGCTACATTTGTATTAGTAAAATAAAACTGTATCATAGAAACTTTTCAAGTGATAGAATTCCATCATCTTTGATCTTAAATAAATGCCCCCTGGCATGGTTTTGTCCCAGGTCAACAAGCATTATCCCAGATAATTTTGGACATGGTTCAGAATTTAACACAGGCCAATGCAATTTAGCAATAGGCAGTTTGGATGTGGCCACTCCATACTGCAAAGTCGATTTTAATAACGTGGACACGGACCACTTTGTGCCAGCTGACTCAACAAACAATCCCAAGCATTTTTTAATTTACTAGTATAGATATAACCGCAAAAGCCTTATGCAGCATTTAGCCCACACCCACAATATCACATAATCACAGAATGGTAGGGGATGGAAGGGACCTCAGGAGATCATCTAGTCCAACCTCCCTGCCAAAGCAGGTTCCCTGCAGCAGGTTACACAGGAAAGCGTCCAGGAAGGTTTTGAACATCTCCAGAGATGGAGACTAATATGTTTGATTACTGAAAATGCAAAGCTACACATATTGGAAAAATGTAGATATAAAGATATCTACTTCCACTCAAGTAGATATCCCATTCAGAACATTCCTGACATATTTTTTTAGACAGCACTTAATCAGACCCAATGCCTGAAGAATTAATGTCTGTACATTGAAGAATACATGTTTGTACTGTTGAAAAACTAACAAAGGGATATAGCTTAGTCTTGCTAAGATATCTGCTTCCAAAGGGCTACTGAATGGAAAAGTTAAGTCTCTATTCCTGCTAGTGTGAAGACTTAATACTCGTAGGATTCTGTTCTTTAACAGCGTCATTAACAGATTCACCATTACAACTGCAGAATTTTGATTACTCATAACTAGGCAGGAGGTAAGAAAAACACATTATGACTTTCTAAACTAAATTTGCAAAGTTGATAAACTGAAAGAAAAAAAATTGCAAACTGATGAGATCTGATATGAAAATGATGAGATTAACCACATATGTAAAACTTGAAGCTGACAGCCTGATAGGATCGTCTTCAGAAAACTGCTGCACTTCCAGAACAAGGATGTCAGCTAAGTAAAATAACCTAGCTCCTCTTATTTCAGAACATCTCTGGTGATTTACACATAGGTCTTCAGTGCTTACTCAGATTCGTATTAGCTTACCCCATTCTCCCATATGCTTTGCTGTACTTTGGATCTATTGCTATGGCTCTCTCACAATCCTTTATCGCTTCACTGTAGTTGTTGAGCTTACTTTGAGCAGCAGCCCTAGGAGGAAGACAGGAGTGAAGGGAAACAGGTTTGTCAAAGAAACAATTAAAAAAAGAAAAAAAAGCTTAGATACGCACATGTCCATGACTAACTTTAGATTTGTTTAATCTTACTGACTTTTCATTCACTATTTAGGCAATGTCTCAGCTTTCCTCAATGAAGCAGAACAAGCAAATGTTCTGAATTATGTGCTTAAGTGCATTGCTACACTAGGGCTACGGAGAACATATGCTCACCTTTGAGGACACAAAGGACAAATAATTCTAAGGAACTGGTTTAGATCCAGCATATGACTATGCACAAAATACATCATAAAACCTATCAAAAGAAGTGAAACTCTCAGGAAGTAATTTACATAAAATAATTGTTTAAGCAGAAGTATTTTATACAACTGGCATTTTCCAGCAATAAGTACAATTTTACTGCCATTCAAAGGAATGCTCTGATTTCTCCCTGCTCAATTTTTTAGCAGGCAAGTCATGCTTACAGGTAAATCAGAATAACATTGCTCGATAATCTATGAATTAGTAAATTACAGTTGCATCTGTATACCAGAGAAATACTAAATGTTGCAGACATTTATACAATGAGATTAAAGACTTGTCCAATCAAAAAGGACATTGGAACAGATTAATAACCAAAACTTATCCAGTTTGAAAAGTCTCAAATTTTAACTCATAATTTGTTCTTCCTTGGTTAAAAAACTACATTAGAAATGAAAATGTCTCCTTTGCATAAAGCATTCTTCTTTTTTATTAGGAATGCTAGATGCTATAATCATCACTGTATTCAAACCTTTCTCCTGTGGCAACCTCCAAATTGCATGTTTTTTCTTACTTTGATTAAAACCTCTTCTAATTGGGACTACTTATTTACTTTAAATATTTAGGCTGCTTAACAGTTGTCCAAATCCATAGATGCCAGTGAAGATGTACAGATAAATGCTTAGTCTCTCACTTGTTTGAACAGAAAATGTTTTTTCCATGTTTACAAAAAATTTATATGGCCCGCTAAAACTTCAAGGGCATCTCAGCTCTCTTTTTTCCCCTCACTATTGTGAGTAAAAAGCAATACTGTTGAAGGCAATACATCTCCATTGCTCCCAAGCTAGCTTAAGAAAGATAAGGCCTATATTTATTAAAATACTGTATCACCCACAAAACTACAAGAAACTGCCTGTCTTCTTTCAAATAACTTCATATAGTACTGTGCTTACTGACATCAGGATTCATTTTGGTCCTCACAAATGCGGTATGTGATGATGTAACACACAGAGAGAAGTATTTCTATTCTTGCCAATTACAGATTTGGTGCTTAAGCCCATTCTACTGAGGAAACTCCCAGTGATCTTGGGAGGCTTTTCAATCTGGCCTTGTATTTCCATTTTATACCTAAAATCACTTGCATGATCAGTTTTCTCAAGGAAAATAGATGATTTACACTTTGAATTGCCATCTTAACAATGTAAAATATTAGTAAACTGCGCAATGAAACCACAACAGCAGCCTTGTTTTTTACAACAGGACATGCATAAAAATGCTGAGTATTTATACAATGCTTCGAATCTCCAAAATGGTATTCCCACACTGGCAGTATTTTTTCCCAGGAAAAGTCAATGCTAGGGGAGGTAAGAGATGGCAGCTGAGCCACTAGAACACCAGGCTGTTTTACTATTCTCAACAGACTGGGAATCACAGCCTAGATTATGATTTAATATAGACATCCTAACTCACAAAAACCTAATCTCAAGTGTTACAAGTAATTTTAAAGCTCATATTACACCTTTAACTGATACACATATGCTGAGCTCACTTTGGCTTTAAATCTTTTACAAATTTAACGTGATAAATTTCTAAATAGTGGGGTTTTCTGCCCTCATGTTGCTTTGATTTACTTCACAATTTATCTTTAAAATAATGTGAATGAAGTTTGGGAATGAAAAGCATGTATTGTTTTGTTTTTACCTGTTGCAGTAATAGACTGCATTGTTTGGATCCAGCTCTATAGCCCTAGTGTAACAGTCCACTGCAGCACCATAATTTTCTTCTTTCATATGATTATTACCTGAAATAAATTATAAAAATCTCTTAAGCAGTTAACAGATACAGTGCTATGTATGAAAGAAAAAGAGCAGCCACATTATAGTACCTATATAAGGTAGTTATAACTGCATTTTTTTGAGATACATTTTTTAAATAGAACTGGCATGGAATAATGCAAATAAAAGTATCTACTATGTCTGTGAAGTTTATTATGAACATTGTAGTTCACTGCATAAACCTTCCCCTTCTCGTCTTGCTATTTCACACTTTCCAGATTGTTTCTGCTGTTTAATCATAACTGCAGTCCCACTCGAATATAGATTCATCAGTCTTAACTATCTTTGTGAGCCTCATAATCCATTAGGTTATGTGTTAATTCCATTTTGGTCTCATTTTCTCACATGTCCCAACAACTTGCTTGTAACTATCCATATAACATTTAAAATCAAACAAAAGCAAAACTAAGCACATGAGCTCCACTTTTGTCATGCCACCTAAGTCATTCATTAAGATAATGAAATTTATGTATAGAACAGGCAATCGAAAATTATTCAGAGATAAAATTTCTCAGTAACAAAGCTCAGAACTTCTACTCTATAATAAAGTTTCATATTTCATATTTTTTAAGTCCAGTAGAAAAAACCAGAAAAATATAGCTTTTCTATGGAAAGAAAATTCTGGAGTAAGGTCTTTCAAAACAACAGGTATCATATACATTCCTTCCTCCGGAAAACAGGGCAGTTCTGGTAGTTTCTTTCTTTCCTCGTGACAGAGTAGTAGAGAAAAAATCCTAGTTCAGAATGCCCAAGCTTAAGGCTGTACTCAGTCCTGCAATTACAGATCTTTGGCCTGCTAAGTCCTACAGAAGCCTTGGTTTCCCAGCAATGTCAAGAAATTGTCAGGAAAGTTATAGGCTTCCACTGACTATCTTGTATATCGGCAAAATATTTCAACCCTCTCCCAAAATAAGTAAGAGAAGGGACAGGTCAACAGGTTACTACAAATGTAGATAATGGCATGAGCAAAGGCTGGAAAAGTTCAGTCAGTGCCAATACTGTCTCTCATAGGAAGCAAAAGACTGTGGAGTAAGCAGTCCTAGGTGCCTGGGCTAACTGAAAACAACTATTTATTTGTGAACATGGAGAGGTGAATAAACAAAACCAGATTTAAGTTAATTAAGCATCACCAAGGTACAAAATCGCCTCTTCCCAAGTAATAGGGAAGACTGTAGTTACAGTCAGCAGACTGTAATTACAGTCAGCAATCCCTGCCAGTGAGAAGGCAAACTGAAACTGCAATTGCATGTATACCTTCAAAATATACACAGAATGTAATCATGTCTTGTCTTATTTCTACAGGCCCACTATCTACACCTCTTTCCTTTGATCTAAGGTAAAGGCCTGCACACTAAATCCTGTTGTCAGATAAAAGACTTGCAAGTTAGCTGCACTCAATGAGAATGCAGCAGTTAACATTTCTCCAAAACAGAACTGCCACGAATGACTATCAAAGTTGAAATTTCTGATACTGCTCTGAACTAAAGATGACCTGGAATATAGGGTTAAGTTGGAGCTAGTATCAGTGGGTACCATTCTTGCTCTCTCTCTCTCCAGCTCAAAAATGGCTAAAGGAAAACAAAAATAGCTAGACCTACTATTTCTGCTGAGATTACGCAATTCAGGCCAAAAGGAAAAGCAACTGTAATATTTTATTTTAACACAAGACAAAAATTCTTAAGACCAAAAAACCCCACAAATGGTTTTACTTTTGAATGTGTGTTCTCCATAGTGAAAATACTACCTATTTTTATAATTTGTACTGTGGTAGTACCCAGATCTTTTTAGGATCAAGCCACTGTTACACTAAACAAACCTGCACATAATCTGTGCTCTTACATAATTTATGTTAAGACAAAGTCTAAAGTGAATTTTCATGCCTACTCTTGTATACCAGGTAGTTACTAATCTGGAGGGTATATTCCTGGTTTTATAAAGACCAAGAAATAAAACTCAGCTATCTGATTTTGTTTTGCCATTCATTAGCTAATTGCTATAGGTACTAGGGCTGGTGGAGCAGGCTGGTGGTCACAGAGGTGAGGAACGTTATTACATTGGTAAGGACATACAGACAGAAATGAGGAAATGGCAGTTATAGAGTTATATATACAGTATTATAGAAGATACAGGTCAAATGGACTTCCCCAAGTTGTCAAAGTTATCTCCCTAACTCAGGGCTGAAAATACTCATAACTGAAAAGCATGAGAGTGGTGATAGATAATACATGTGTGAAAATGAGGAGGATTAATATTACAGAGCAGCATTAGAAAACAGGACAGGAAACTTTAATTTTATTATGGGAAATTAACCAGAAGCATTTCAAGCAGTTCCAAACTGCTTACTAACGCCCCTGATAGCTGACAATTAAATGGCCTTTTGTTGAAGTTTAGACCCTTTCAATTTTTTCAGTAGAGACATGGACTTGCTTTAGTAACACCACACAAAGACTAACACATAGCACACATCAATTTCATTTCCTCAGTCTGTTTCACAAACCCCTGTGGGCAGACACAGGACAAGACAGAAGTCACAGATTTAAAACAGGCATTGCTGCAACAGCCACACCTGGAAAGTGCTGAATATCCCTACGGTTCAATAACCATACTGAGTGCTACAGGTATTTTTCCATGAGCTGGTAGTATCAGACAGCAAAATGAAAAGCCAATGTGCGCAGCAGGTATGTTACAACTTACAAACTAATTTCCATTTGTGACCTAAGCTTGTTTGAGCTCTTATCCTTAGAAATAAAGAGCTAATGAGCAACTTCAGCAATCTGGAAAACTTACTTTAGATTACCAGTTTTAAGATGACAGACATGGAAATCATTTTCAAGAACAGTAGAACTTTTTCCACATCATTATCCTGAAATTGTTGAGAGGATTACACCTGCCTTGCAATTAGAAACTTCCTTGTTTTTTCTATAAAACTAAAATATCTGAAAATCCAACAGGTCATTAAAAATGTGGTTTATAAAGCATCAATCCACCTGATAACAATTCAGATCAGTTATCAGTGCTACATGCTACTTTTTTCCTCCCCCTTCTTTTTGGGGAGAAATAAAATGGATTCCTTCTTGGGTAGCATTAGTGAAGACTTCTATGGTACAGCGGCTTTTCCTCACATAACAGCAGTAACACCTATCAAAGCAAAAATAAACAACTGGCTTTTCTGCAATTTTTATAGAGCATACAAATTATTTCACATATGTGAAACACTAAGCCTATTAAGTACATAAGAATTTTTCCATTGGCTTCAGCTAGGTCAGCTTTTTAACAATGTTTTTATATTCAGCTAGCACATAATCCTTGACATCACATAACCTTTTCAACAGAAAGTAGAAACTTGCATAGAAATTCCACGGACAAATAGAAAAATCTATAATATACTGAATAATAACTGTTCATTCTTTAAAGCTTCTGCTACTCAGGAATGTTGCCCTGACATCATGTGTTATTCCTTAGTTTTTAAGCAACCTCCTGAGCAAGGGACAGAATAGACCATATTTTCTTAAACCCCAGATGGAGCAAATCACTGAGCCCTTACAACATAACAATCACCAGAGAATATGAGCTTAAGTTTTTGTGCAGGGTATGTGTTTCTCAGCTGCTATACTATCACTATCCATCATAACCCAAAAATCTTAATAAAAGCATAAGATGTTTATTCGATGTTTATTACAAACCTTCATCCTTCAGCTGGTCAGCCTTTTCAACATCCTCTGGTAAAGAATCTGAGAGAGGCAGCATGTCATTCTGTATGTAAACAAACCATATTTTTTTGCATTAAAATATAAGCCCTGATTTTATTAAAAATTTCTTTAATCCTGGGCAGCACTGTATCAACAAGCAACCAACTTTTTTCTAGTGCACAGGAAGTATGAAACAACTAAACATCACTGAAACATCCTTAGAAGAGAAAGATAGCTTGCTTTCTACTTTCTAGCTGAAATTAATTCCTCCCATTGCCCCAAAAGATTCTCATTCTGCTAGCTTTTATGGAAATTTCACTTTTTTTTTCATGTCTTCTTTAAGTTTCCACATTGTTTTGATGTATACAGCACTTTAAGGTTGTGTATACAGTATGAAATCTTAGTACATTTTGGCAGAGTAACTGTAGAATCTGAATTAAGTTCTTACCTTGTGAAAACAATTTTTGAACATTTCTGTCAAATGCTGTGGAGGTGCAAGATGAGTATCTTCCAGGTTAATCTTAAACACAGTCTCCAGACACTGAATTGCAACTTACAAGAAAAAAAATTAAAAAATAAAATAAAATCCAAGTCAACAGTTTCTCAATAGAAGTGTAATTTCATTAATTTATTTATAAAGCTGTGATTCACTTCCTTATCTGGTTAGTAAAAGCAGCTCTTTGGAACTGTCATAAAATAAAGAGAGGCTACCTGATCCCCATAGAACTGACTTGCTGAAAAATAGTATAAGCTATACAGAATCTATACATTGTTCAGCCATCATTCTTAAACCAATTTAAAACTTTTATCTCAATTCTTTCAATCATTTAATATCTTATTTTTTAAAAAAAATAAAAATACGAGGATTTAACAAAAGCACCACAATTCATAATACAATTATGTATGTGTCGCACACCCCTCCTCAAAACACCATAACTGCCATACATCTGTGTGGCATAATAGTTGGAAGAAAATAGATCATCTTTACAGTAAAGAATAAATGCAAGATACTTACTACTCTTTATCTTTTTTTTTGGAACAAAATATATTCATTTGAAGACACTGCTTATTAATAAAATACTTCAATAATCACAAGCCTTTATCCTATTTAAAATATCTGCAGTATCCTTTCATATGCTCTGCTGTGTAAGGATTCAATGGCCCTCCCAAACCTGCAATAATGTAAATACACTCACAATTAAGCAAGTCTAAAAAAGTAGAGCCAAATACCCGAATGAAGTTTTAAATATGCACATATTAGGCAAAAGAAGATTACATTAGGCAAAATAAGATCAATGCCAAATACTATATACAATTTTATATATATAGGTATGCTGTTAATTATAGCATCTCGAATTATATAATTATTTTCCCTGTCATATTCAGACTCTAATAGAATGTTTTTATTCAGGTATAACATCTAACCATTTTAGACTGAAAACCGAGGAGGAACAAAGAAGACTCTTTGTAAAGCCTAGTCTGAACAGAAAAGGATCTATAGGAACAGATCCTACAGTTTGACTTTTTAAATTCAAACTACAGATAACGAGGAGTAGTTGAATTGAAGTATCAGTAAAAACTGAATCTTAGAATTTAAAATTAATTTCAGTCCAATGCTAATGTAACAAATATAATTTGAATTCTTATTTGCATTATAATGAACCTGAACACTGACCCAAAAATTAGAAAAGTGAAATTACTTGAAGTTAACAACAGTAAGACCAGTTTGAGGAGCCTATTTTCTATGTTGCGGCTGGGAGAAAGGGTCAAAAGTAGACTCGTAAAACAAACAGTCAAAGTTGGAAGATGTTATCACAGTTTTTAAAAAAAGTTACATCTTCCAAGTTTGACTATCCACCCCTTATTCCATACCATTTACATC